TTTGTCACAAGTCAGTCCAAACAGATCGGTAGGCGAATTATTTTGATCATCGAATATACAAAGTCGTAGATTTATAATTTAAAAATGATTTTATTTTCACTGGTCTCTTAGTTATAACAAAAATGATGACCCCATCATGCCCAAAAGATAAAAATGCTTAAAAACAAAACTTAGCAGGCTGTCCGTGTTTGCATGTGGTAACTCTGTCTTTTTAGATCAATCTTTTAATTCAGTAGAGTATTCTTGATTGTAATGAAGGTCGTGATTATTGTTATATTTTCTAAATTTCCTTTTCAAACAGAGGCCCCTTGATCTTTGGTGAGGCCGAGCAGGAGCTACAGCAGATCAAAGAACACCTTTCTTTGAGCATCTCCTACCGAAGCCATAGCTTCACTTTATCTGCATCTCGCGATCTCATCCATCTTGGTCCTCGCTGCAGAAGCCTGAAGACACTCAGGGCAGGGGATGCCTTCAGACCACCAAGTAGGACATCTCTGCTCCGAGGTGTTTCTGCAATCGCCAATACGATCAGCTGTTTGGAACCACCATGTAACAGCAACATGATGGTCTCCAATATGTCCGACCTCATCCCTTGGGCGGAGTCGAGGTGCAGCATCGAACTTGGAAGAGGTGTCGCAGGAACTGTCTACCTCTTCCGTCACGCAGTCTCGAAGATCCCCGTCGCTGCCAAGCTCGTGGAATACCCAGGAGAGTGCTTCAGGAACGAGGTCAGGATTCATCAAGCAATCAGTGGCCTTCCATGGTTTCCTACCTTCTATGGAAGCTTTGACATCGACGGTGACCAGTCAGTTTTGGCCATGGAGTTCGTTGGGAGTGAGTCTGAGGATCGTAGCTACACCATCACTGACTGTCTCGAGAAGTCCATGTTAAAGACAGGACCGGATCTCACCAGAGATGAGTGGTTTTATGTCCTCAATGGTGTTGCAGAAGGACTGAAAGCGCTCCATTCCAAGGGATTCCTATGTAATGATCTCAAAGAAGACAACGTGCTGGTTGTCGAGGAGTCTGGACTCTGGCGAGCCAAGATCATCGATCTGGGATGGGCTTCTGCAATCGCCACTCCTTTTGTAATGCCTCTGGATGAAGAGCAAATTGATTTTTACCGTAGCGGCCGAGGGTGTTGCCATATTGCCCCTGAATGCGTGTTGGACGCCAGGCCCTGCTCAACATCCAGCGATGTCTACTCCTTAGGTAGATTGCTAGCGATGGTAGGTCGCGCCATGAGGTATGATGATTTCGAGTGTTTTGGTACGCAAATCTACCTGGCTGACGAAGACCAGAGGCCAACCGTGCAAGAAATCATCGACCAGCTTTACGAAATGCAGCTGGTACAAGGAGGGGAGGATGACCCCGAGTCATCTTCTTGTTAGTTTATTCATCGGAAGGGGAACGGGGGAAGGGCAAAACCATATATAGCAGATACTGTAGCATATTGAACTTGAATGTAGAACTGGAAGTACGGCAAAAGGGGTAGGGTTAATGAGAGGGGAAGGACTAGTGCATATGACCTAGGGAACTGAATTCAGTACTGGTATATAGTGGATCTGGACACAGGAAAAGAAGGATGATGGAGTAGAGATAGCATTCAATACGAAGAACGATTAAGATGGAAAGTTTGATAAGATCAATGAAGACTGAGAAGCAGAGAAGCTGTTGGAGGGGAAGGAGGGGCAGGAGCAGGAGGTGAGAGAGGAACAGGCCAAATGACAACCACAGGCCAAGAAATTTTGGGGAAAATAACTGGAGAAAGACACAAGTTGTTTTATTCCTAGAGACAGCAGAGGAGAAGAGGGAATGTAGGAGGAAGAGGAGCAGTCCTAAGAACAGCTGCAGGCCGAGGATTGGCAGATTTAAAGTAGAAGTAGAAAGTTCGGGGCAAAACGATGAATCTGTACATAGTATTTTTAACTTATATATACTACTGCTGATTTGCCATGAACTATCTGCTTAAGAAAGTAATTATTTTGTTATGTGTTGCACCATTGTATATAGTGTTATATGACTAAGCTATCTGGGTAATCAGAGTAATTCGATTTTGTAGAGCGCATTTCAGTTCAGTTTTATTTTTCATTTCCAACCAAAGGAAATTCCAATGCGTTTTACATTGCATATTAAATAATCAGGATATTGGTAACATTTCAACCCTAAAATGTCGAATTTAAGCTACAAATTGAATCGACAAGTGTATGAATATTAGATGAAATTAAGGTGGAACAAGTGTCATCACACGAGAACAAAAATGCTACAAAATCTTAGACGCAATGCCATATTAGCAAAAGTTGGATTATATCGAACCCACTCTTATAACTTATACAAAAAAGTCCAGAAGGCATCCAAAAGGACCTCGGATAACAATTAAAAACATAAAGAATTTATTAGGCTATAAATATTGTACAAAATTATAACTGAATACAAAAATATACATATGTAAACAATGCTTGCTTCTGTTTGTTTTTATTCTCACGTTTCAAATAAGGAATCGAGACATGGTGACATAGCAAGAGAGAGAGAAAGAGAGAGAGAGAGAGAGAAAGAGAGAGAGAGAGAGAGAGAGAGAGAGAGAGAGAGTGAGAGGGGGTGGAGTCCGCAAAAAATGAATGTGACATATAAATATTTTCTTCTTTGTCCTTTTAGAGCTGACATGAAAAAGATTATCCTACAGCCCACCCCCTTTCGTATAACCAGTGTAAATCGGACAGTTACCACCGAGAGATATTATCAATATTACTTTTCCTTCCCCCCACATATAGTACCTTGAGAATGGGTTGGGAAGAGGGAGAGACAATGGGTGGGGTTGTGAGTGTAATGTAAATGGGATGTATGATAGTGTTGTGCGTTTCTAATATAATGTGTGTCTTCTTTTGGGATGGAAAAGACGGGGTGTCTTTAGATTTGTGTGTGTGTTTTTGATTTGTTTTGTTTCGTTGTTTTTTCCCCTTTTAATTCTTTATCTTCATGGGTAGTACTATGCTTTATTTAAAAAGTATTATTATTTTATGTACAAAGCATTGTTTGATTTAAAAGAAATTGTTAAAAAAAACATCCGATTGATTACATTGCCTCCGAATCAGGACACCTACCCCCTGGACATCCACCCCCGGATAATCATCCCCAGTCAACTACCCCCTATGACGACTACCCCCAGGATGACTACTCCCGGACAACTACCCCAGACAACTACCCCCTAGGACAACTTCTCCCGAGGACAACTACCCCCGGACAACTATCCTAGAGGGTAGTTGTATGGGGGTAATTGTCCTAGAGGGTAGCTGTCTGGGGAATAGTTGGGGGTAGTTGTCCTAGGAGGTAGTTTACTGGGGGTGGTTATTAGGGGGTGGATGTCCAGGGGTAGGTGTCCTAGAACCCATTGCCTCCATCAAAAGATCCCTTCAATCACACTTCTTCCCTCTTTAATATATTGTAATGTACCAATTTGAAAATTCTGCGTCTTTTATGTTATCTTCAAAATTATATGGTTTTATGTTTTATTGGCATGACCGGAGGATCTGCAGTTTGATCCCTCATTCTGCAAATTGCGTAACAATGCATAAGGATCACGTGATTTTTCAATAAAATGATGGAGCCCCAGTTTTAGAACACAATTGTTTGGCTTGTTTATTCGATTAAGCGGAGTGTAAAAGTAAATATTTTATTAGAGTGTGCAAAATATCATTCATAAACTTACGAGACATAAATACAATATTGAGACAGAAGGCTATCATTAATCATTTTATTACACTTTGTACAATATATATTCATTTTTAATGATTCTTCTTCTTTTTCATCGTATATTTTATACACTGAATAGGAAAAATACATACCACAAAACTTCGTTGATTACAAACGTAATCTATATTGTAGATGCAAAAAGAAAATCTCGACAACATACATTTTTAAATAGTATCATTATAGAAAATGTATTATTTTGCAGTTGTACTCCAAACCTAACCATATTACAATCTCAGGAGGAATTTCGCTCACAAACGAGCGTCATTGTGTAAAATATGGTTACTGCAAGTGACAAAAGTAAAGAGGAAATTGAGCAACCTAAATCTGTTTTTATATCAGACAGATTCAGAGGTTGAACTTGACTGTATTCGACCAACTTTCAGCAGTATTTTGGTCAAATCACGTCATCATTTGTTTTTGTTGTTCATGTCAATACACATATGTTATGTGGTAATGAATAAATTCTTCGAAAAATGTTAGCTCTGAAATAAACTATGCAAAAAGGAAAAGAAATAAAAACACATGAAGTGGATAAGACATTAGAGAAACCTGTACACAAGATACCGAAGCCTTAGGGAAGGTAAAAGATTACTTGATATTACTCAACTATAAAAGAAAAGAAAATACATATTCGCAACTGTTTTAGACTGTGATACCTTTTGGTATCAATAGAGGACAACAAAAGCCAACGCTGTAACGTTTGATCAATATTTAAAATATTTCGAAGAAATTACTTCTTTGAAACCAATGTCTAAATCATTCGTAGTAGGTCCATGTTTAAATCCAGCGTCACGCCTAAAAGGCTAATGTGTGAACAACATGCAATTCCACTGTTGTGTTAAAAACTTATTTGTTTTTAAAATCTACACTGATTTGGTAGTGGCTATTAGATGACTCACTATTATAACAACCAGGTTAAACGACGGTTAGATATTGACGTCGTATCAATTTACCCAAAGGCTACATCTAGTGCAAAAAACGACACTGCAGAAAAAATGCATTTATCAGAGGCGTTAGAAAAGTTCGAAATCCAAACATCTTTTGGAGGAGATCCAACGTCGAAAGACTTCGTATCAATGTACACCTGGTAGGTCGGTCTTGATATTTCGTCATGCCTTTCAATCATGTTTCCACCGTTAAATGACATCACTGCCCCATTACAGTTCCTGGAAAGTTCCTATTATAATTTCTGAAAACAGTCTTAAAGACAATATATATAACCATGTAGAAATAAGACTAAATAAACCGTATCAAGGTATAGCCATCATATTCTGTGTGTGTGGTGCATATCCACTTATACGTTGCAACATAGCAGGACTTCGCGGATTGGTTGGTCTTCCGCCAGGGTAGTAAGGCCTAGCTCCAGGTCGAACGCCGGGGTTAACCGGACCAGCATTTGGGTTAATCGGACCAGGACCTGGGTTCAGTGGGCCAGTGCCTGGATTCATTGGACCAACACCTGGGTTGATTGGAGCAGCTCCTGGATTGCCAGGGTTGACTGGGCTCAGAGGACCAGTTCCAGGCATGAAGGGATTATTTGGCGTATTTGGGCCAACTCCTGGATTATTTGGTCCTGGGCCGAATCCTGGCTGCATAGGTGGGATCGTAGGAGTTGGAAATGGTTCTCCATTCGCAGTCAGCGCTGGTGCTTGACATATAAAAGCAAAGGAAGCAGACAATGGCTCGTCTTGCCATGTATCTGACCAATGATGAGTACCACCCCATGCTACAGCGCCAATAGCTTCGTTAGTGGTTGCGGGTTTACCTGCTTCCCAATCTGTGTATTGTGACGTCGAACCAGTAGACCATCGCCAGCCCAACGCATTCTCTGCCTTGTAGAACCCGGTCCAAAACTTCTGACGTCTTCCCTGACCAAACACGGTCGTCAGGTAGCTGAGCATGATTCGGTTTTTACTTGGTGAGTCCAGAGCGTAGAGGGAGCCACCATACCTGTTGCAAAAGAATGTGGCTTCATTGAAGGTCATCCGGATGCGATGTGAGATTCTGAGGGGAAACAGAAAGAAAAGATGTTATTAACATGAATTCAGAGTACTTTTGTAAATTGACTATTAATTCCCAGAACATGTCTTATCTTGACAAAATATAAACCCAAAGAGCTTATCACATGAAGATATAACCAATACAAATATTAACAGTGGTGTTCGAGTGAAATACATAAAATACAATGTTTATCACCCAAACAAAACAAGAGAAGTATTATGTAAAACTACTTGTATAGCATATTTTGGAATTTGTTGCCCAAACTTCAATCACAACCTACACTCAGGAAACAAAAAACTTTTACAAGACTCACATTTCTCTCTCACACGCCTAACGATTGCCTTTCTGACTTACATTTACAATTCAACCACTTTATTTCTTCTTAAACTGCCTCACACAAAAACAGAAGTAACTCTTGTAATGTAATAAGTTCTATGCATAAAGATGACCTTTGGATCATTTTTGGAAAATGAATTAAATCAAGTTTCAAACCTACTGCGCCAAATAAGAATTTACTTACGTACTACCACATTAATGTTGTAGCAGGCTATAAATCATAAAATGTCTGAATGCGTGAAAATTTTGGCATGGTTGCTTGCTTAATCATCACAGTTTAAAAATAAACTAACTCAAGAAATTCGAACAATCTATCTTTACATAATAATGTGCAGTCCACTATTGGTGCTTGCCAAAATGAGCTTCCCGCCAAACAGAGATTCATATCGCTTCATCCATTCAAATAGTCGCTTGCCAGAGACGAAGCCATACTGATTTTTATTTATAGCGACTTGTATGCCGACTATTAATTTGGATGATTGCCTCTCATTTGAAAGCTAGCCAAAGCCCCGTTTCACTCGTAACAATTGAAATGACATAATCCATTAATTCACCATTTCAATGAAATCATTGCTTTGTAATTTAGTTTGAACACTTCAAGTTCTTTCTTCACAAAGCTTATCATGGAGGAAGAATGTCGACAAACTTTGTTACAACTTTCCTTTCCTTTCCGCCCACCACGCCACTGGAGCTCATTTCTCTAAGCCTCGTAATCATTCTTTTTGTATAACATTAATAACATTTCCTGGAAGTTGTGTCACTCTCCCAAGCAAGGTCCTGGTTTCCTTGATATCTTGAAGCCACATACGCAGACAGACCATGGATCAAATGTTTGATATCATCAAAATATTACAGATGGCCAGGTTACGTCATATTAAAGTGACTCGGGTACATTATTGAAGATTGATTTAAAAAAAACTATGTTATTTTTGTATTAAATGTTATTTATTATATTCCTTTTACTGAACTACCCCTCTAAAATGCAAAAAAAAAAATCCCGAACAAATTATCAATCCACAAATATATTTATTGTTTTATTTAAAGGAGTTACTGTGCAGCACCCTCTAAATGTAAATTCTCCTGCAACCAATTTTGAATTTTCCCAACCGTTTTTTTCACGAAAATAAGACATAAGACAGGCTTTTTAAAATCTATAAACACTTAAATACCTGGAATGGGATACGAATCAAATTCGTTGCTTTGTAACAATTTACATTCATCCAAAATGTAATTAAATTGTAATAATATAGTTGGGAGAATTAAGTATTCAATCAGACCAGTTTTTCCCAATTGTTATCATTTGATAATGATCTGTTTTCACTCAAACTTTCAGATTATCTTTAATTGTACATCTAGCAGTGAGGTCACTTTTTCTCTCATCTGAACAATGTTACCAAGTTCCTTTGAAAAAGAAACAGACCTTGCTATATATATGCATTTAGCTGCCAAGAGGAGTCTCAAAGAATAAATTTTTAAAGCAGTTTTTCTTGTTTTTTTCCTTTTTTGAAACAAGGTCATTTTCTACTCGCTGACTCAAAAAGTAATTTGATATATCATATTGTGCCCTCTCGTGCATATCTCCTGTCTAATGCGCAAATCTCCTTCCACATCTTCTTCCTAACCCCACATGCAGCTCATCCTATTGTTATTATTTTCTGTACCCCCAATCTCTCACTTCTTTTTTGGCATTGTCTAAGTTTTGTATTGTGACCGTGTTATAGGACTCTTGTCCCGCTTTCGTCTCTGTTGGCATCTCCTTTTTTCTATTTCCAGTTCCTTTTTTGTAGTTACGAATTCGTTAATTTGATTACTCATTATTGCTAATTATTATTCGAGGGGTCCACAATAGTACAAACATTGCTTTTTAGTGGACTTCTCTGTTTCCAATATGTGTCCCTTAATTTGTGTAAATGATTATAATTGATATGTAATGGTTTTGTTTCAAACATAAATAAAATTGGTAATAGAAATTGAAACAATCACAATAAATATTTCCCATTAGGCCGTGCTTGCCAATTGCTACTAAAATGTTACCAGTGACGTAATTTTTTAAGTATATAAAGAGAACATAGCAAAACTAGGAATAGGGAAATGTGATAGTGCACGACATAATGACAGTCCTGCAAAGTACATGATAGAGAGAGAAAGTGTGTGTGGGGTGCGTGTGTGTGTGCGTGTGGCGTGAGTGTACGCGCGCGCGAGTGTGACGTGAGTGTGTTCTTCAGAAAGTGAGAGAGAGGCAGGCAGGGAGAGAGAGAGAGGGAGAGTGAGAGAGAAAGAGAGGGAGAGAGGGAGAAAGAAAGAGAGAGAGTAAAAGGTGAAATATTGAAGTTGCACTTGACATGTATTGAAATAAATATTTTATGAAACAACACATTTTATATAAGTGGCAGAAACGAAAGGTTCAAACTACTTTGAAATCATGCTGGCATTATATAATTTGTTATAAGTATATTTCCTGTGTTCGACACTACATGAGGGGTGTGTGTGGGGGGGGAGGGTGTGTGTGGGGGAAGTGTGTGTGGGAGGGGGTGTGTGGGAGGGGGTGCAGGGCGCCCTTTCCCTTCCACTAATAATATACCCCGATATGAATGTTACAGTAGTAGTTCTAGTAAAAGTAAAACCTGGATATTGATCAGAAGTGATCAGGTGGAAGGACTGAGATATAATATAAAGGGCTAAACACGAGGAATAAATTAATGTCACATTCATCATATCACAAGGCGACACCCGTAGAATTGCAAAAGATATTTCCTACACCAAAATCTAAGGGTGATTAAACAGTTCTCCCGTCTCTTTCCCTTCGTTTTGTTTCTGATTCATACATCTAACCCGTTACACCCATGTAGTAGGATCACAGCCTTTAATTATTTAAGGCCGCTATGTGAAACATTCAACAGCCTAGTGCATTCCGGAATAAAGTAACATTCATCATATATGAACTCTATGTTACCCATACATGTATAATCGCAAATGTTTACGACTCTTACTGAAAGAAATTTCGTCAGTGGACTCGTAGAAGTTTGGTCCTCTGTATGAAATTCAACTTAGGGGTAGGACCTTGGGAAGAAGATTGCAAGACTTATCTCAGAACCGCCTTAGTTAAATTGCTGTGTTTCCTTTGCATTTCATTCACCATTTTAGACGAATGTCCCTCGTATAGTTCCTTGTAGCAAGCTAGCAATTTCTTGCCAAAATAGAAGACCATCTCATGAGATTTAACTTGAACATTGCTGAATAAGATAATTACATGGCCATTTTTTTTTTATATATTTCTAAAGAAATATCATAGTGAACTATTAGTATGGTTTAATTTATAAAGAATCAAAGGCAAAATAATCAAGCTGTTAATAGAATATGCCTGAATAGATCTGCCTTTCCTGTAAAGCATTCGATAAAAATAATGCAAAAATATATACATTAACATTATGTTTTCTAATATTGTGAATTCATTTCTCCCTCCCTTTATTTCAAAAGATCCTCACCCAAATCAAACATTCATTGATTAATGAATTCATTTATTTACTCATTTAATATTGTATGTATTAATTCATCATTTTATTTATATAATCAGGCTTATCATAAATGGTAAGTACATTCATTTTGATTTACGACTGTACAGGTACAAGCAAAAGTAAAATCCAACTCCTTTAAAACTTAGCCAATGTAAACATGTCATAAAGTAATATGACTCATCATAGAGCAGCAGGTATCATGATGGCTTTCTCCACACTCTGTTTCAATTAGTCCTCGCAACAGGTGTGCGCGAGAGAGTTCAAGTATTCGTTTTTGTTTTCGCATAATTATGACCTCCTTCCTAAATATCCCCTCTACCCTGGGCAAAGGGGCCTCGGACCATGAAAGAGGAATGATACCTCTTTTCTGCCTCATTTTCTCTCCCTCCCTCTATGTAGTCTCTCTCTCCTTTCGTCCCTTTTATTGTATCTCTCTTTTTCGTCTACATTCTTACTCTCTCTCTCTCTCTCTCTCTCTCTCTTTCTTTCAATTACATTTAAAATACACACACACACACACACGCGCGCGCGCACATACACGCACACTTAGTTTCTTTAATGGTATCTCTCATTTTCGACTCATCTTTCTCTCTCTTTCTTTCTTTCACATTCAAATACACACACACACACACATACACGCACACTTAGTTTCTCTAATGGTACATGTATCTCTCATTTTCGACTCATCTATCTCTCTCTTTCTTTCATTCACATTCTAACACACACACACATACACGCACACTTAGTTTCTTTCATGGTATTTTTCATTTTCGACTCATTTCTCTTTCTTGCTCACTTTTGCCGTCTCATCCTTCACTGTCAAGAAAGAAAGAAATGAAAGAATGATGGAGCGTCGTTTAAAGGTACTTCGTGGGCTATATCTTTAAATCATTCCGAAGCAATGCGAAATGAAGAAGAAAAAAATATTGGACAGTTTTTCCTTCTAATGTTTTCATTCCAGACCTATACTCCAAATAAAATGAATGAAATGCAATAATTCTTTAATAGTGGTCTAATCAAAATCACTAAAAACATGGGCGTTTTCAAATGCGACCCCATTAGTAATAGTAAATACCAATTAAACAAGGGAAAACTACCCCTGCATCTATCACTCTCTTTTTCTATATACATCTACCTGACCTCTCCTTTCTT